AAGAGGGGTTTGGGGTGTGTGGAAAGAGGCAGCGCAGGACCATGTCCAGAGCAGGACCCATCGTTTGTACAGGGTCTGCCTCGTAAAGTCAGAAAGGATGAGCAATGCATAGGCAACACCGGGGGGCTCCGGAGTGAAAGAGATGGAGACAGATAGCGAAGCAAAGAGAAGGAGACAGTAATCAGGGAGAAGAGGAAGAAGGAAGACAGTGGAAGACGATAGATAGGGAAACAGGGCGAAGGAAATAGAAACAATGACGAAGAGGAAGGAGGAAGCGACGGTAAAAAGAGGGCCGCTTGGAGAACAAAAAGGGGTCAGAGAAGATCAAGCAGAAAAGGGAATAGGTAGGGCAGGGCACTTGTTTTTTTCAAGCATCGCTCACTCCTTTCTTCCACGGTCTTTGTCCTTCATTTCTACTCTCTATCTCTCTATCCTCTCTCTAGCTCTCCTTCCTTTCTTGTTCCGTGTTAGTTCTCCTCTTTCCTCCTCTGTTCCTTTTGTCATTAAGTAGGGGGATAGAACAAGGGCAAGGTTAAGCAAGGAGAATGAAGGGAATGATAAGATGGAAGGAGGACTTCTCCTGCTCCTTCTAACTACCTTCCAGGCCACTCTACATATCTCAGTGTTCTTTTCTCTTGTTTTTCTTCTTAGCAATGTGGGGAAAGGGTCCTCTTCTCACACCTCTCCTTCACTCTTGGACGCCCCTCAAGGCCGCCTGAAACTCATGGGGGAGGCTCAGAAGAGGTGTGGAAAGAGGCAGTGCAGGGCCATGTCCAGAACAGGACCCATCGTTTGTACAGGTTCTGCCTCGTAAAGTCAGACAGGATGAGCAATGAACAGAAAACACCGGGGGGCACCGGAGTGAGAGAGATGGAGACAGATAGAGTCAGATAGAGAAGCAAAGAGAAGGAGACAGTAATCAAGAAGAAGAGGAAGAAAGAAGACAGCGGAGGAGCGACAGATAGGGAAACAGGGTGAAGGAAACAGAAACAATGAGGAAGGGGAAGGAGGAAGCGATGGTGAAAAGAGGACCGCTTGGAGAACAAAAAAGGAGACAGAGAAGATCAAGAAGAAAAGAGAAGAGGTAGGGCAGGACACTTGTTTTTGTTGTCCACTGTTCCTTTTCCTTAGCCCTTACACTTATTACCCGAGCATCGCTCACTCCTTTCTTCCACGGTCTTTGTCCTTCTTTTCTCCTCTCCATCTATCTATCCTCTCTCTAGCTCTCCTTCCTTTTTTTTCCCATGTTCGTTCTCCTCCTTTCTCCGCTCTCCTTTTGACCCTTTCCTCCTCTGTTCCTTTTGTCATTAAGTAGGCGGATAGAACAAGGGGCATGCATGGTTAAGCAAGGAGAATGAAGGGAATGATGAGATGAAAGGAGGACTTCTCCTGCTCCTTCTACCTACCTTTGTCTTTGTGTTCTTTTCTCTTGTTCCCCACCCTCGGTGTGGGGCTGTTAGATCTTAAACGCAACTCTTCTCCTCGCCCAGAAGTCTTCTCCGCACCCGGGAGTGCCCAACCCGCAAAGTGTTTCTGGAGTGCCCAACCCAGACCTGGAGCGCCCAACCCCAGTGTCCCCGGAGAGTCTCCCTGGAGTGCCCAACCCCACTGTGTTTGGAGTGCCCAGCCCCAGAGTGTCCCTGGAGTGCCCAACCCCAGAGTATCTCTACGCAGAGAGGGTTTGGATGTTAAAAGCAAAATAATTTTCTTCTTAGCAATGTGGGCAGCGCAGGACCATGTCCGGAGCAGGACCCATCGTTTGTACAGGGTCTGCCTCGTAAAGTCAGAAAGGATGAGCAATGCATAGGCAACACCGGGGGGCTCCGGAGTGAAAGAGATGGAGACAGATAGCGAAGCAAAGAGAAGGAGACGGTAATCATGAAGAAGAGGAAGAAGGAAGACAGTGGAAGAGCGACATATAGGGAAACAGGGTGAAGGACACAGAAACAATGAAGAAGAGGAAGGAGGAAGCGACGGTGAAAAGAGGGCCGCTTGGAGAACAAAAGGGGGCCAGGGAAGATCAAGAAGAAAAGGGAATAGGTAGGGCAGGGCACTTGTTTCTGCGAGCATCGCTCACTCCTTTCTTCCACGGTCTTTGTGCTTCATTTCTCCTCTCTATCTCTCTATCCTCTCTCTAGCTCTCCTTCCTTTCTTGTTCCGTGTTCGTTCTCCTCCTTTCTCCGCTCTCCCTTTTCTCGGGGGATAGAACAAGGGCAAGGTTAAGCGAGGAGAATGAAGGGAATGATAAGATCGAAGGAGGACTGCTCCTGCACCTTGTAACTACCTTCCACAGCTCTCTGCATGTCTCTGTGTTCTTTTCTCTTGGCTTCTTCTTAGCAATGTGGGGAAAGGGTCCTCCTCTGACACCTCCCCTTCACTCGTGGAGGCCCCTTGAAAAGAAGGCGTGTGAAATTTTGTGGAAAGAGGCAGCGCAGGACCATGCCCAGAACAGGACCCATCGTTTGCACAGGGTCTGCCTCGTAAAGGATGGGCGGTCTTTGTCCTTCATTTCCCCTCTCTTTCTCTCTATCCTCTCTCTAGCTCTCCCTCCTTTTTTTTTATCTCCATGTTCGCTCTCCTCCTTTCTCCGCTCTCCCTTTTCTCGTGTCCATTCCATGACCCTTTCCTCCTCTGTTCCGTTTGTTATTAAGTAGGGGGGGATAGAAGAAGGGCAAGGTTAAGCAAAAAGAAGGGAATGATATGATGGAAGGGGGACTTCTCCTGCTCCTTGCAGTTAACTACCTTCCACACCTCTCCACATGTCTTTGTGATCTTTTCTCTTGTTTTTCTTCTTACCAATGTGGGGAAAGGGTCCTCCTCTGACACCTCTCCTTCACTCTTGGAGGGTTTTTGGGGAGAAGGCGTGTGAAATTTTGTGGAGGCTCAGAGATGGTTGGAGTGTGTGGAAAGAGGCAGTGCAGGACCATGTCCAGAACAGGACCCATCGTTTGCACAGTGTCTGCCTCGTAAGAATGAGCAATGAACAGAAAACACCGGGGGACGCCGGAGTGAGAGAGATGGAGACAGATAGAGAAGCAAAGAGAAGGAGACAGTAATCAGGGAGACGAGCAAGAAGGAAGGCAGCGGAAGAGCGACAGCGAGGGAAATAGGGTGAAGGAAACAGAAACAATGAGCAAGAGGAAGGAGGAAGCGATGGTGGAAACAGGATTGCTTGGAGAACAACAAGGAGACGGAGAAAATCAAGAAGAAACGAGAACAAGTAGGGCAGGACACTTGTTATTGTTATCCACTGTTCCTTTTCCTCACCCTTACGCTTACTTCCCGAGCATCGCTCACTCCTTTCTTCCACGGTCTTTGTCCTTCATGTCCCCTCTCTATCTCTCCATCCTCTCTCTAGCTCTCCTTCCTTTCTTTTCCCACGTTCGTTCTCCTCCTTTCTCCGCTCTCCCTTTTCTCGCGTCCATCCCACGAGCCTTTCCTCCTCTCTTCTTTTTGTCATTAGGGGAGTAGAACAAGGAGGAGAATGAATGGGAATGATGAGATGGAAGGAGGACTTCCCCTGCCCCTTCTAACCAGCTTCCACAGCTCTCTACATGTCTCTGTGTTCTTTTCTCTTGCTTTGTTCTTAGCAATGTGGGGAAAGGGTCCTCCTCTGACACCTCTCCTTCACTCTTGGAGGCCCCTTGGGGACGCTCTCTGAAGGCCGCCTGAAACTCTTGGGGGAAGCTCAGAGAGTTTGGAGTGTGTTGAAAGAGGCAGTGCAGGGCCATGTCCAGAACAGGGCCCATCGTTTGTACAGGTTCTGCCTCGTAAAGTCAGAAAGGATGAGCAATGAACAGAAACACAGGGCGGCGCCGGAGTGAGAGAGATGGAGACAGATAGAGAAGCAAAGAGAAGGAGACAGTAATCAGGGAGACGAGGAAGAAGGAAGGCAGCGGAAGAGCGACAGCTAGGGAAACAGGGTGAGTGACACAGAAACAATGAAGAAGAGGAGGGAGGAAGCGATGGTGGAAACAGGATTGCTTGGAGAACAACAAGGAGACGGAGAAAATCAAGAAGAAACGAGAAGAGGTGGGGCAGGACACTTGTTTTTTTCATCCACTGTTCGTTTTCCTCACCCTTACGCTTACTTCCCGAGCATCGCTCACTCCTTTCTTCCACGGTCTTTGTCCTTCATTTCCCCTCTCTATCTCTCCATCCTCTCTCTAGCTCTCCTTCCTTTCGTTTCCCACGTTCGTTCTCCTCCTTTCTCCGCTCTCTCTTTTCTCGTGTCCATACCACGAGCCTTTCCTCCTCTCTTCTTTTTGTCATTAGGGGAGTAGAACAAGGGCAAGGTTAAGCAAGGAGAATGAAGGGAATGATGAGATGGAAGGAGGACTTCCCCTGCCCCTTCTAACTACCTTCGACAGCTCTCTACATGTCTCTGTGTTCTTTTCTCTTGTTTGTATTCTTAGCAATGTCGGGAAAGGGTCCCTTGGGCCTAAACCCTAACGCCTAAACCCTCGTGAGTATTTCGGCATCGGGAATGGCTTGACGAAACGTCGTGACGCGACAGAAAACGAAAGTCTTCAACTATGATAACAGGCATAGAAACGTATATGCAAATTGATTATTAACCAAGAGCAAAAGCCAAATAATACATAAAGGTCCATGCCACATATGTATATATGTATATATATGTATATATGTATACATACACATATACATAAACACACACACACACACACACATATATATATATATATATACATGCATAAACATATGTATGTATGTATGTATGTATGTATGTATGTATGTATGTATGTATGTATGTATGTATGTGTATATATGCACATATACTTGTATCTGTGGACTGCTGTTTGTGGTAACTGTCGGGGTGTGTGCAACCTAGTTCTGCAGTGGTCCGTGATGCAGTTTGCCTGCAGCTTACACATCTGATCAGCTTAGCGGACTGTGTATGGTGGGCACGCAATGGGCGTCCTCCTTTTTCTCTGTGTGCTTTGCTCTTTGCCGCTTACTCAGCTCGTGTGCTCGGAGGGATGACACGCATGTTGTGCGGCTTGAGAGTGGGTGCTGTGGACATTCATCTCAGGTTCTGCCCGGCAGTGGCTGCCCGGAGCATGGTCGAGTCCATGCTGGCTGCGGGGGTTCCCAAAATGCTCATCCTCATGACCCTCCTGATGTATCTTGGTCACACATAGTGTAAGTTGGCAAGCTCAATCAATACCTAGCCATAGCCTAACCTTGAATTCATGTGCTGCTGAGATTGTGGAATTCGGAAATTCCAGTCACACCCAAATATGATGCGGTGGACCTTTATTCGGGAACAGGACAAGTGTCAGCCGGGAGCTTACTCAGAGTGTTTAAATTGAGGCAATCGTATTTCGAAGATGTAATTCTTCAAGGCTGGCTTGATACGCCGTGGCTATCGAACCGCGAGACATGACTTGGAGCTTCACCCATCCCAGAATGTCTTGGAGTCAGCTGGCTTTGCGTTCAATCCTCAGCTGGCTCGCTACTTTGTGTTAACGATATCAGAACCAGCCCATATGTCTGCTACTGCAAGGCTGATGTTGTATTCCATACTGTGCCTGGACCCTCGGGGGCCCCGGTGTCTCAGAGGCATGGTTCTGTGTACATTCAAGCTGGAGCTGCCTGATTGATTCGAGGTTGCTTCTTTGAATGGACCCTGTAGCCGAGGTTTGTGATGGCGTCGCCAGTGTGCAGTACTTGGGTATGGATGAACAGGGCCTCCTCGCAAAGAAGCCTGAACCTTATTAATTGATTGCATGGCCTCTCTCATATTCATACGTTCATCAGTTTCTGTACCA